CCCTCAACCCCCCGCCCCATAAAATAAAAAGAATGACAGGAGCAGTTACCTGAGACTGGGCTCACGGTGGTCTTCTCTGACCCGAACCGTTTGACTGGAGAAGCTGTGGAGAGACAGCAGATATTTGACCATCAGGTCACTCGGCTTCACGGTCGGTGGGGGTGTGTGTGTGTGTGTGTGTGTCCCACCTGGAGCTCCTGCGAAGCCCTGGATCGTCATGCTGCCACTCGTTCCCTCAGGCAACTTGGAGGAGACCATTTTCCCAGGAGGCCCGGCCTCGCCGATCTCTATCACAGGTGGTCGAGGGAGGAGGGCGTCCAGGGGGTCCTCGGGGCCCACGGGGTCCGGGAGGCCTTTACTTGAACCCTGGGAGAGTCCCGTGTCCTCGACGGCAACCTGGACACCTGAACGGAGCAGACAGACGGTGAGTGACGGGCGAGCGCCGGAGGTCGAGGCCGTCTGTCAGGGAGAGAAAGATGAACGGCCGGGGGGCGGGGGGCAGACCTTGGAATGACCCGGGCCGCTCTCCCTGACACAGACCTCCATCCACGAGTTTAAATGACTCTCAGGTTAATGAAGACATGAGTCTGACAGACCACCAGGGGGCAGTCCCTGCAGGATGACCTTTGACACCAAACAGTTGTTTGTCTTGGAACTTTCTGACTGACCCTCACCATCATCACCTTTTCCTGTCAGTTACTGTTCGACTGTGGACGTCTTTTTGTCAGTGTGGTGACTGTGTGGGAGTTGAACCATCAACCCTAGGCGGCCATGTTGAATCCCCTTAAAGCCACAACCACCAACAGAGACTGGAGTAAAAACAGATTTAACCCATAAACCTCTACACCTGCTCAAACCAAACCCCCATAGAGAAAATGATGTAATTTCACATCATGGCCCACAGGGGTCGCTGACCCACCGCTGCCTCTACTGGTGGGTCTGATTGTGTTTCTTTCTAACTCCAGTGTTGGAGATCTATTGTTTGGTTTAACCAACGTGACAAAAAGTTTCCGACCGCAGCAGCAGGAGAGCAGCGAGACCTGAAACGCTGCCAGCTGAAAAACACTGATTTACTTCATAAACACTGGTGTTTATAGAGTCGACTTCCCGCTGGAAAAGGCAAGAAAAAGTGACCGGCACGTCGTCATGATGTCATTCAAAATGTCCAAAATGTTTGTTTTTTTTACCACCTCATTCACTGTTTTAGGATCTGATATCAGAGTGAAAAAAAACTAGAAATTCAACAAAGTATAAGTAGTTAAACATCCAATATTTAACTTTTCACAGATCCCCCCCCCCCCCCCCCCCCCCCCCCTCTCCGTATGGGCCTCATGTT